AATGTTTATAATATATAAATGATTGTAAAAAATTTCACACTTTAAAAAATTGTTGGATGTATTAATTACTTAAAAAATATTGATGATATATAATTAGAATAAGATATTGCTCAATTGTTCTGAAAATTCATATCATTTAACATAAGACATCAATAATGACATCAATATCTAAATAATTCGAAATATTGTAAATACAAACATAAATAGTTATATTACATAAACATCCACGTGTACTTATAAAATCACTATATTAATGAATATTAAAATTTCAGTTATTTCCGTCAATATTGAACAAACTTTTATTCCAAATTAGTATAAAACGATTCGTATCGTTCAGATTTTTAAAAGACAATAGAGTTTTCTTACTTATAACGTCAGTAATTAGAAATTACAAATGAACCCTACTATACCCTATTTGTAAACGAGCGTGCAAGGCACATAACCTTAGCCATGCCCATATGGAAAAATTACGCAGAAGACAATAGCTTTATATCCAAAGAGCAAATAATAATGTAATATTCAAGGAGAATACTCACCCAATAACTCCTTTTGAATAATGTTTATTTTGTACACGCCACGGACAGCCTCCGTATTCGCCAACTAAGGCTTCGTAATTATAGTTCATGCCGTAGGTGCTAGCACGATTATCACCTTTCCTACGCGATGGATTATAATAGCTATTGCCAGTGTGATGTTGCATGCGGTCCCCCGTACGAAAATTAAGAGAATCCAAAGCTATGAAGTCTTGCTGAAGCTTCACACCCATCACATTCGAAGATGAGTCGTTCTTCAGCGTTAAGATATCAAGACCCTTTTCAGCTTCCCAAATGTGTAACCACAAATCCTTAGCGGGGCCGAACTGCTCCGGTTGATACCAACCGATAGTCGGATCCATTAAATAGTTCTCAATTTTGTATCTCACGATTAATGGTCCTTGTACACTACACTACAATTCCAATCTTAATTCAACTTTAATTGAAAAATTGTCTGATTTATTGTAACCTGCGAACACTATGAAATTCATATATACGATCAATGAATAACAGCATTTTAGAAGGAACTTCGTATGCTGTTATATGATATAGTATGGCAACGCCTCTAAGACTTTACTACCAGAGGGCTACCAACTAGTAAATACTTCTCGTAAGTTCTTGAATAAAACTGAATTTTAAGAACTTTTTAAACGAATATTTATCCATTTAAAATAATTTGTTAGTTAAAATATTATAATATAATATAAGAGAATATAAGAGAGTGGTAATGGAAAAGATAATATATAAAAGAACTTATCCAAAGTTCTATATCATCAATACTCTATTATGTTAATAAGTACCACATGATAGAATCACTCATTTTAATTATCGTAATTTCATGAATAAACACTTTGGACAGCAAAAAAAGTATCAGTAAACATTTTCTAAAAGATTATTTTCTATTATTCGGAATGCTTGAAATTTTTTTAATTCAATATTTTTGGAAACCTGTTTCAACAATATGATCATTATAATTTAATATATTTTATATTTCAAATATTACATATCTATATACATACACAATGAAATAGTATATTCAGTATGTACAATATACTGAGCGTTGCTCAGAAGTTAATCTTTGAAATAAATGCAAGTCTAGTTGATCAGTTTTTATTTGTTCTTATTTTATTTTCGATGTTAATTCGTTATTCATTAATACGTTTACATGTAGCCAATAAAAACTATAAACAAGATACATAGCATGAGATCACTCTCGCCTCTGTGTCGTTCCAGAGACCATCTCATGAACAACGAAGAGCAAAGTACATAATTACTAAGTAAATACTTAAATACCTAGTATTATTTAGATACAGTAAAGATGATTCACGTGAAATTAGCAAGACGAACATGTATTTATTCATAAGTACTTACGTACCACAAAGGACTTTTAGGCTCAATACACACTATGGTTCCACTCTCGGTCCATTCAAACTCCGCTCAAAATTCTTTCATTGCTCATTATTTTTTATGAACAATAGAAATGATGAATGATAGAACAAGATCAAACCAAGATAGGACCGAGATTCATTCTGTGAACACATGCTTTACAAACAACTGAAATAATATTTGATCGAACTGAGAGCGGATCAAGAACGAGTCAAGAGCTAACCGATAGTGTGTATTGAACCTTACAAAAACGAATTTTCCATATTTTCTGAGATTCAATTTTCAGTGTGCATATGTGAATACAGAAGTTGTGTCTCACGAAAATGGTAGCTGAACTTTGCAGTAACAAATAATTAAATAGTACATACTCGTAGAGTGTGCAATTTTAGGATGTCGTATGCATAAGCGTGATAAGTCGGTTCTTTCTGTTTTATCCAATGATCTAGCAAAAGTAACAAAGATATCGTTTATAAAAAAAACGACAATACCGATTTAATGTTGTGCTTCAATACATTGGATTAAAGAATATGAATTAAATACAAAGTATTATCATAGAGAATAAACTTCTGTCGGAACGTTTGATATTTGTGGTTCTGAATTAAGTTAGAATCGTAATGTTGCCGGTTCTGTAAAGATAACATTTTCATTATCTTCTATAAATAAGTTATTGAACAAAAAAGGAAGGAAGGTTTCGATATAACGAATTGCCTATCTGTTATACCATGAAGTCGTACAGCTATATCATGAAACATAACTTCCATGATACGTATTTATTTATTTAATGGACATTGTAAGAATTTGGAAATAAATATTACGTGACGGTGTAGAGATAAGAAGGGTCTTTCACTATGTGCTTTAATACACGTAATACATGGGAATTACAGTAAATTACGCGTTAGATTCGAAAATATGTGTGGAAGGGGTTATCCTCCACCCATTTTGAACAATTATATTCATTTTTTCCTACAATTTTTTATCTTTGCATAGTACGCACTCGATATCGCAGAATTTTGGAAGCAAATTGATGGAATACAACTTGCATACACATGCGCATTGGAAACTAATGTATTTCATTATTTTATATTAAAAAAGGTTTAAATTATGTATATAAAAAATCTATCTCTTTGGAAGATATTATAATCTTAATATTGAGTAAATTTCTTTGTTTAACACGAACAAAATGTTTTTGAATATTACCTTTTATTGTCATTCTAGATAGCAATATATTTCTATATAGTACGTCGCAAAGTTGAAACTAAAATATTTCTTAAATTAATGATCATTTAACCCAAAGAGTTTAAGACATTTACATAAGGAAAAATAAATAGCGTTAAATCAATAACGTAATATAACGCATTACTATATGATTCTATTTAAAAAAATAAGGATAACTTTCATATGTCCTCTATTGTTTCTGAAAATATGCAACTTTATTTAAATTATTTTTGTCTGTAGGTATTGACCTAAATAAAAATCATAGCACTAGGTGATTTACCCTGCATATAAGAAACTTGAGATTTTACAATTAACACAAGAAAGAAAAATATTTGTAACAAATATTAAGATAATAACAAAATAACGAATCGTCATAATTACATATAAATATTAGAATAATAGTTTTATCATTTATATATTAAAATGAATAGAAGTAAATAATGCTTATTAGTTACTGTTTAATTTATAATTGAATTCAAATTTAGAATAAATGTTTCAATGCATAAAGTGTAAGTTAATACTCTCAGTTTATACACACAAACATATGCGGACACGTACGTATGATTCGTTATTGTATAAAATTAATATATGTAAATATTAATATAATAATGACTACAAATTTGTAATAGCAGAAAAATAAATAAACGAATTAAAAATGGTACTATTTACTTTTAATAAACATGTAAAAATTGAAAACATAACATGATACACTTAATAAGAGTGTAGATGATTTAAATTCTGCAGGAATTAAACATTTTATTCAGATACGTGCGTATCACACGAACTGCCCTTCATTGTGATTTGTTACGACCTGCCTGATTCACGGAACTAACAACGTGATCGCTGAACTATGTCCTCATCAAGTGCATAGAAAGATGTAAAGAACATTGTTAGTTGCAATGAACGAGAATATACTACTGAAAGTTCTAAATTAATATAGTCTTCCACAATATTTATAGATGAACTATACTAATAATTACATAAGTTTATTAATAAATTCTTTCACTGCGGATAACCAATTATTCAACGTATTATCGGTGAGTAAATTTATTGGTACTAACGAAGTTTAACGTACAATTCTTTTCATTATAAGATAGAATTAAAAATCTTTTTAATAAGTGAATTATTAAAAAATAGTTAAATGTATTTTTTTTTAGTTTTTGTTAAAGTATTTAAAGAAATGTCTCCTTTATTTAGTTTAAAGTTAATTTGATTAAATACTTGTTTAAAATAAGCAACTTTTGTTTTTTTCATATGTTTGACAATGAAATTTTGCTGTTACAGTCATTTAATTTTATTTTTATAATAAATTGCTATTATCTTACATGTAAGCACATGTTTAAAAAATTCAAGTAATTTCATACATTTTCTATTTCAGAGATGTCAGAACATGTTGAATTACAACATTTAGTTGATGGTGACATTGAAAACAATATCACAGCAAGACAAAAAAAATTCTCTATTTTATTTTGTAAATCGTGTCCCTATCTTGGTTTAATTTTAGCAACTTTATCATCATTATTTTTTTCATTATGCAGTGTTATTGTAAAAGGTTTGGTAGAAGTAAATCCAATGGAATTGGCAGCATTTCGATTTGTGGGTGTATTACTACCTGCAATACCAATTGTGATATATAAGGGAGAACATCCATTTCCAAAGGGGCGTAGGTTAATGTTAATATTAAGGAGCTTTGTAGGGACCACTGGCCTCATGTTAAGTTTCTATGCATTCAGACATATGCCATTAGCTGATGCATCTGTCGTAGTATTTTCTGTTCCCGTATTTGTAGCTATATTTGCAAAAATATTTTTAAAAGAGCCTTGTGGGATATTTAACGTTATTACAGTTTGCTTAACTTTAATTGGAGTAATTTTAATAACACGTCCACCGCTTATTTTCGGACATACTATAGAATCTCTTTCAGACGGACATGTAAAAACAGAACATGCAGATTTATGGGGTGCTATAGCAGCTTTCTCTGCAACTCTATTTGGTGCGAATGCGTATGTTTTATTAAGAGCTTTAAAAGGACTCCATTTTTCAGTAATAATGACAAATTTTGGATCATTTGCCTTGATTCAAACGATAATTATTTCTTGGGCTATAGGTGCACTTTGCTTACCTCGGTGTGGAACTGATAGACTTTTGGTTGTAGCACTAGCTCTTTTTAGTTTTGGAGGTCAAATATTACTAACGCTAGCTTTACAGTTGGAACAAGCAGGACCTGTTGCAATAGCAAGGTCAGCAGATATAGTTTTTGCCTTTTTTTGGCAAGTTCTATTTTTCAATGAAATACCAAACCGGTACTCAGTAGGGGGAGCAATTTTAGTTACAAGTTCAGTTTTATTGACTGGATTAAGAAAATGGGCGATTTCTTTACCAGAAACATCTAGTGTTAAAAAGTCTTTAGGAATTTTGGTGATGTAGATTACAAATTATAAAAAATAAATTTCAAAACATAGTAGATTTCCAAATACCTCTAGAGAGTTTCATAAGGTTTTAAATTCTAGTTGATTGTTTTAAAGTAACAGTGATTGTTTTGAAGAGAATTTTATAAAGATATAAAACAGATATTTATTCATATTAGATATGCTAAATTACTATCTTCCTCATCTAGTATACAATGACCATTACTTAATTTATTTAAGAATATATTTGAAAGTAATATATAAATAGATGATATATTTAAGTCATATAAAATTACTTTCAAAATTGTATAAGTTGCTTACAACTTATACCTGTGTGAAAGTGTATCAATATAAATACATAATTGATTTATGTAATCAATAATAATTATTAAGAATTATAGGATTACATAAAAAACGAATTACGAACATGTTTTATATTAATTTTCATCCTTTTTGTTCTTTATTCCAACAAATATAGTGAATGCAAAATTACTATGAAACATAAGATAAAACACTACATTGATAGTTATGTACAAACATCATTTCACAGAAAAAGAATGAATATGAAACTTCATTCTATAAGATTTAAAATGATTAAATAATAGAGTATTTATTACATTATTGTGTTAGGATGCGCAATTTGTACTTCTTAGTGTAAGTTACTGAAGCTTGAATTTATACATAATGTTTAAAAGATTTTTGAAAAATGTTCGTCTGTTGGAATGTAATCATTGGGATGTAACAGTGATATCCTTATAGTCTTCTCTTTCATGAAACAGCTTTGCTGCCTTCTGCTGTGGATTACTTTCGATTATTATGAATTCTAGTCTATTATTCAGTATTATAATAATATAAGATTAGAAATAATTATAAATTTACAAAACACACAAAATAATGAAGCACTTTCTTACATTTTACTACAAAATTAATTTTATTACATTTACAAAAGTTTATTGTATTAATTTCTATTCAGATACTAATATCATTATTTGATAAAAATAAAATACTGAAAACTGCATAAATATTAATGAATAATATAAGCTTTCTGAAATGATACTGATTAATAATGTTAATTGATAAATAATCAGTTATATATCTAATATATATAATAAATGAACTTATAATCGATATTAATAATTACTGAGTTCTTTCTTTTATAGCTATCAAAACATTTTTATAAGATATAAATTCAATTATATATGTACGTTTATAATATTAATTAAATTCTAACATTGTATTTTATGCATATCAAATTTCATAAATAAAAAAGTGTTTCTTTATTTTATGTGAATCATTCTTCAGCTTAGAACAAAGAATGCTCAGTCAATTTTACCTAAATGAGAATATTATTTAAACGACAAATTGCATAATATTTAAATACATTTTTATTTGTAAATATACACACAAATAGATGTCAAATTTGTATTTATAACTTGTTATTATAAATAGAATATATTATCACATAGTAAAATTGATGAGCGAAGTACATTATTTCTTTTCACAACCAAAAGAATTTGATAAAACAGGTATACAGTATGTTGCTTCAATTTATAAAAAATGCTATTTTTAAACATGCAATTCAAGTTTTAAATAGTTTATAATAACAATTGTAAGCACACAATGAAAATAGTCGTAATTAACAATTATTTACAAACATAATTTTGGTGTATTTAAATATAATTGTATGGAAAAATGCACATAGATAATTTCTACTGTTTTTTGAA